CTGTCAATAAATTAGTAGATGCGCATGTTAGGACTTAGGTAGTTAGTTGATTTTGTCTTTTGATAGCATGCTATCAAGTTGTGGATATTATGATGTGTTGCTCCGGCCTAGCATTGACATGCATGGAAATAATAAAACTTACTGCCAGATTTTTGTTTTTGTGAATCTTCAAGTGAATGCACAATTGTCTAATTAATTTTAAGCATGAAAAGTCTTAGATTTGTCATTTTTGAGTAGGTTCTTGTTCTTTTCTCATGTTGATGATGATAATTAGGAATATGCACGAGCTTTGTTTTCTACTATTTAGATCAAGCTATGACTCATTTGCCACGTTGTTTTAAGATAAACTCATTTCTGCTTCTTTAGTGTTAACCTTTAAACTTTTTACATCTTTTAAGAGGATCCTTGTCCTTTAGTGGTAAAAAATTTTTACGCACCTTCAAATTTTTCACACTTAAAACCAGTGAGGACACTGTCTTCCTTAAGTTTAGGGGAGTAGCGTAAGCAAGCCTAATAGAATGCAGTGAAAAAAAATAATAAAATAAAATAAGAAAGGTAAGAAAAAGTGTGGAAAAACGAAGAAAAAAGTGGCAAAAGAAAAAAAGGAAAAAGTGACAATGAAAAAAATAATAAAATAAAATAAGAAAGGTAAGAAAAAGTGTGGAAAAACGAAGAAAAAAGTGGCAAAAGAAAAAAAGGAAAAAGTGATTGAAATTTTTGCAAAGAAAAGCAAAATGAAAATAAGAGTGGAAAGACAAAAGCGTGAAAGGAGAAACTATGTGGCAAGAGAACTTAATGAGAGAAGAAAAGTAAGGAAACTTGCCTTAACTCAGTTCCCACTCTGTTTGCAAAAAGAGTCTCACTTAAGGATACTCATAATTTTATGGTAGCAACTTTGATCTAGTTTGACTTTGTGCAACTCACTAATCAACAAGCTCGGATTGGTTGCCAGCCTAGAGAATCCCTTGAGTGACTGTCCTATTTTCGAGTCATTTTTGTGCTAGAAAATTTTCATTAAAGGGAGTGTGCATAGTCTCTAGTGGATTTGGAAAAGTTTTTTGAGTGAGATCATAGAAGATTTTGAAAAGCTTTTATCTTTTAAACAAATGTGGCCTTATGATGAATTTGCTTGAGAAAAGTAGTAGGGATTAGAGCTTTGACGTTCCTCCTGAGACACCATATGAGCAAATTACTCGGCTCTACTTCATGTTTTGTTTATTCTTGAATTTTGCATGCTTATTCTTGATTTGATAAATTGTTGTTCTTGCTTGGGGACAAGCAAAGTCTCAAGTTTGGGGGTGTGATAAGTCTTGAATTTTAGGGAAAAGTGTTTACAAATTGTGCATGTTTAGTGTCTTTTGAAATTAAATAAATATGTTTCATGCATTGAATTCGGTATAAATGGGACTATTTCTTAGGAAAGACTTGTACACTTGGTTTTCGATAAATAGATGGAATTATGAGGAAATATATATGTTTTATAGAGAAAAAGGAAGGAAAAAGCAGCAATGCACTCTAGAAACTTCAGCAATGCGCCTGGCGCATTCTCCACCTACAAATAAGGGCTTTTGTTGACCGGGCAGTTGGAAGAAATCTCAACCCATCCCTTGATCCGTGCAACCAAATGCTGTTAAGCCCCATTGTAGCTCCTCCACTCAAATACCCAAGATTTTCTTCACCAACTTGCAAGGTTTAGCTTATAAATACCAAGTTCTATCAAGCTTCAAATGGGAGCTCACTTGACATTTAAATTCCAGCTTTTTTTTCTCTCTAGAATTTACGCTTTTATAATTTGTTTTGTCTTTAATTTTGCTCAACATTCCTTGAATTATTTTTATTGCAATTCCTTTTCGTTGTTATCATTTTCTTTAGATTTCGGTTCTCGATTTTAATTTAGCTATTGTAATTACTTCT